AAATTTAGTCGGGGGGCAAAAAAGTACTGCACGGCGCCGTCGGGTGTCTACACCAGCGCCCTTCGAAACACCTGCATGTGAGATGTATGTTTCGCGCCCTCTCCTCCTCTCTGGAGAGGTGTAAGCTCGATTCCACTGCATACTTGTAGACTTGCCCTCTTTAACCCCCTTCCCCTTCTCCACACTTCCTTTTTTCCTTCTGTCTTCATACGCACACACGCACGTAAGCAAGCAACGCAAATAACTTGTCACATCGGAGGCAGTAAATCAGCAGTCCCCACCACCACCGCCGCCGTTAGCGCTATCACTTGTTCGTGCCTTTGCACTCTCAAGGGAATGCCTCCAATTTAATCACCCGCGCGTGGACAAATTGGCAATTCGTTGGAGCGTGCGAAATTGCCACAGCAATGGGCGGGTGGAATGAGTGGCGGGGTGGAAGGCTTTGGTAGCCAACTCCGTCCATCGATTCCTATAATTGGGGAAGCTAATAAACTTCTAACTGAAACTTTTGAGCGCTTCAGATTTTTATTTCCTCCTCCGACGCACCAACGAACCTTTACACCGCCAATTACGCAGGATTCGGTCACACCACGAATATTAGAAGTTGGACTAAGTATTTGGGTGCATTGCTTCAGGCAATAAACCTGTCTCTTTCCAGGATAAACCTGAAGCAGATAGCGCCTGCGGCAGCAAATACACGCTTGAATAAATTTACTACTCCTCAAGGCAACCATTCCCTCTAGGCGCACACAGGCCTTGAACGCAACAGTGATGCGAAAAAAGGCGCATCGGTACCTGTCAACAGGAAATGGCAAAACTCCCGCTACCAAATTTTTACTCAGGCTTCGAGGACTGAGGGGTGGGGCTGGCAAACACTTGGCAGTGAAACAGAGCAGACTTATGACTACTGCCAAATCAAGGTCAAATGACACTTCAAACCGTGGAAATCGCAGTGACGGACGAGAGTGGCTGCATTTGGCGACGAAGGTATCAAATTGAAGCAATCCACAACTTAGAGCCTGTTCAAACCTAAGGCCTGTAGCAATTCTAAAGGAACACTGTAAATCCATTGTTGTGACGCCTTGACCTGTTTGTAGTAGTAACCGCACCCAAGCAGTGTTGCAGAAATCCAGGGCACATTAAACGTGTGATATAATTACCACAACGCATTATAAACGACAGTGGACGAAGGCCTTTTTCGGAGACAACACCCAGATAGGAGTACACAAAGCATGGCCAACGCCGACAAAGGATCGCACATGCGAACAATGCCACACAATTTGAGGACGACGTTGTGGCTGACTTGCCAACTAGTGCAAGTGGCTCCGCGTTTTCAGTGGTGGCACTCAATAGCGCCCACTTCGGGTGCTGTGAAAGCGCCTCTCTCGCTTTCGCTCTCTCTCAACGTTGCAAAATCTCGTAGGCAGGTTGCTATTTGAAAGTGGCACACGGAACTGCGTCCACAAATAAACCGACAACCTAAATGAGGCATTGGATTTATAATGTCCCCTTACATGCAATTCTTAGGTTAAGGAAAATAAATTTGCCTTACAGAGAGGAGGAAGAAAAGGAGAGTATCCAGTGAGGTGCCATTTTTCACGACGTCCTTTCTACCACCTGCCATGGGTGTAGAATTTCATGCTTGTGCGGCAAAAAGATGTCAACAGGGGAGGACGCACCTTTTTGTTTTGATGCAAAAATAAATCCACCTAGCAGTCTCCATTGTACACTTTTGGCACATTCGAAGGTTAAGTCGGCCTTTCAGTAATCTAAAATGGTCTATCCGAGGAGGAAAGGGAATCATAAAAACCGTCAACTCAAGGAATTGAGTAGGCGACCGGAGTTCTTCCAGGTGCTAGAGCTACGTCTTGACGGGATGGTTGTACGAAGTGCGTCAGTGACTTTATTGTACACAACTTTTTTTATTCAGGCCACGTTCACTGTTACCGTTCTGGATGTTAATGACAATCCACCACAATTCCCCATCAATCCACTCACCGTCACAATTGCAGAGGACGCCCAAGTGGGAAATTTAGTGGTTAGCCTCAACGCCACTGACCCCGATCGCCCAGACGACGTTCATCCCGTGACCTACAGTCTTGTCACCATCATTGCACTCTCCACTACTCAGCCGATGAGCGCTGCGAACAGCTCCCATTTCCGTCTGGAGGGTCATACGGGCCGTCTGTTGCTGGCTGAACCGCTGGACCGTGAGACTAATGCGGAATACCAGCTGACGGTGCGAGCGACAGATAGGGGCAGCCCAAAGACACAGTCCTGTGACCTCGTCCTACGAATTCAAATCCTCGATGTTAACGACAATGCGCCAGTCTTCGGAAGTCCATCCGGTTACCGGTTTGTCATTGAGGAGGAGAAAGAAGCGGGCTCAGTGGTGGGTGTTGTATCGGCAACAGACGCCGATGAAGGCAAGAATGGCAAGATATCCTACCGTCTCTTCGGCACCGCCGTGAGTAGTTGTGGGACTACATTTTCGTATTGACCATTCTTTTAGGTAAATTCTACCTTTGTTGTCAATAGACCCCTCATAATACCTTCAAGCTTTTAGCAGTCGCCCCTGAGCTCACATTAAGAATTTGACATTGAGAAATACGTTCGTTTTGTAGGCAGCAGTTCAGCGTGGATTTGCTATTAACCCCACTACTGGAGAGATCACCACCAAAGTGAGTCTTGATCGGGAAGTCAACGCTGTCTACGAGTTCTTTGTCACCGCAGAGGATTCCGCCCCTTCGAAACGGCTTACCGCCACAGCAAAGGTTACTGTTGAACTACTCGACATCAATGACAACGATCCTAAATTCATCTACCCCACTCAACCCAATCACACCATCCATGCGTCTGCGTACAGCAAAGTCGTACGTCTTCATTTCTCTTATGCCTTGTCAACTTAGTACCAAATTCATTTATTGGTTGGCTGGTTGTCTAAGCTACTGATGCAGTTATTCACCTAAAGATCGTTATCACGATTGAGTATACTGCTTTGTCTGCAAAAACACTTGGCTCAATTGTAAAACTTTTAAACAGGCTATGGACTAGTAAGCTGCCAGTTCGGAGTAATTGTTGTGAAGTAGTTGTTTTATCCAACATTAAATCGCAACCAAGTTGAATAGGAAATTTGTGCCTTTTAATGCAAGACACGTCTCGAAGAAGAGGCGTGAGTCCTCGGATTAAAACACCTGCATTTAGTTGTGATTGTCAACACGCCTGAGTGAAATGTCAGGCACGAAGGAGATGAGCAAAACATTTGCCATCAATGGCATCGCATTTGACGAAAGAAATGTCACACTGCAGACAAGCTTTCATCCCTCCAACAGTCTAACACGAAAGGACCTGCCATTGCGTGCGTGTTCGTGTGTGCGTGCACACAAGTTTTATCAAATTTGCAGTAGATGACAAGCTCCCTTTTCACAGTTTGACAGCTTTCCTGCCTTCGTAGTTGTCGATGCAGTTGTCGCGCTGTCGCGTCAACTACTCCACCCCCTAAGAGTGACTCCCTCCCTTCCCTTCCCTTCGCTTCCCTCCCCGGCTAAGGGGATGGAGTTGTGGAAACGCGTCAAACTGTCTTGCAAGATTCTGACTACCACTACATCATCTGGGCTAATTTTTTTGCTTGGTTGGAGGGATGATCACTTTGCAGTCATGCCAAGATTTATGCCAATTTGTCCTGCAAATGTAGCACAAACTTGACCTGGTTAATTCGTTTTCCTACTGCACCAAAGGCTTACTCCATTCAATTGCTTCACAGTTTTGCTGCTCCTTCAACGCTCTGACTGCAGTTTATGCCATCCCCTTCCTTATTTTATAGGAAGTTATTGTAAAATTCCATAATTTTTAAACTATTTTATTAATTCCGGTCACTTAAATAGCAAATTTTGAGTGAGTAATAAGAATTACTGGCTACCAAAAAGATGCAGTTGATTCTGTAAAGCTCTTCAGTACTTTGAAATGTATTCCTAGAACTCTAAACCAATTTTGAGGTCTTTATTTATCATGCTGGATCTTCCTGTGACCTATGGTACTTTTTAATCACACAAAACAACTATTTTATTCAATCGTACTCTTGATTAGAAATTTGTGCGCCAGTAGCGCAGTTGTCCACGAGTGTACTGCCTATAGAGCTAAGGAGGAGATAACACTTCTGATAATTTTTGTACAATTCTTAATGTCAAAATGTCAGAACTGTTGGTGTGCAGACAAGATGATGATTAGTCATTTGGCACCCATCCCAAAAAAAACTGTTCGCATCTTTCTGGCGACGAAGTGCCTCCCACTCCAGCCACCGATCTTCCCATGGACGGGAGGCATTAAAGCGCCAATAAAATCGGCTCCTTCTTCTTGTAAGGCTTGCATAATTTTAGAGCTCCCCAAAGTCTTCAAATTGCTCTGTCGTTCATTCCATTTATCAGGAGCAAGTTACATAGGCAGGCCATACAGGCAGTCGCTTGGCTGCATTTCTTCCACGTTTACACCCTTGAGCGATTAATTTTCTGCTGAAGAGTTAAAGCCAGTTGAGGGAATTCAAGACCGTCATGTGCGCGAAAGCGTGTCAGCGCCCTTAATTACCTTTTTTACGTTACGGACAAGTCGAGTCGGTTAATTAAGAACACGACCTGCCGTTAAATGTTCGTCTGACTGAAAATTTTTTTTAGAAGGCGTGGGGGAAGGGGAACTTGATGGGGTAAAGTTGGGAACGGACATTGCGAAAGCGTCATTACTTCTGTAACTTCCCCTGATCTGACCTGCTGCAGGTCACGTGAAAACAAACTGACCACTTTTTCGATCAAATATTTTTAAAAAAATGAGTAAAGGAATTGTGTGACAGGGGTTTCTGCTGGATTGTGATTTCTTCACTAAATTTAAAGCCTTTTCGCAGAAACGTCCCCCATTTTCGGATGCCATGCTTATGCTGAAGCCTCTTTTGTAGGGGTGACTATCTCGGATCGGCGGTCAGAAGACAGATAATTTTCAAAGAAAGATGTTACATTATAGACGTTTAAATTCACATGCTGATAATTTTCAGGGCGTTTTACGAAAACATTAGTTAATGCGAATAAACTGTGGCCCTGAAATCCCATAAAAATGCTTTTATGTGGCGGGGTGCAAAAGATTAAATGGAAAATATGCGGCGCCGGACAAGTTGCCCAAAATACAAGAGAAGACATAATCCTGGGGCAGAATATGTATTGCAGACATAGAGAATGGCACGGAGGTAGGCCCACCCCACGAAGGGAATATGATGGAGCGCCTAAGCGGCCCCAATACAAAGACCGAGGGTTAAACAAACATCCAATGTATTGCAATGAAATATTTTAGCAGTGGTGAGAGAATATGGCTTCTGCATGTTATCAGTTAATCACCAAAGTTGACTGTGCTTTAATTTTATGCACAACTGGAATAGAAAATTTGACGCCTGACTAAATTTGCAGGGCTGGCACAAATGCGCCGCCAGGTTAGAATTACTGATTCAACAGCAGGATGGGTGGTGGAAAGGGAGAAGAAGGGTGGCAGTGAGGGCGGGGAGAGGAGGAGCTGGAGTGACTAATGTGCATTGAGGATGACATTTGAACACCTTTTTTATTCCCCCCCTCCCCTACCCCACTCTCACTTTTCCTCCGGACTCTACACACACACGCACACACACACGGCCATGCAGTTAGGCCAGGCAGACATGAAAGCTTAATTTCCCTATGCGCGCACTCGCGTTGACAGGCCATTCTGCGCACTGCCTCCACACTGTCGACGTGTTGACTTGGCGGACGCCTAAAATTATGCCGAAGCTGCGCTGCATTTGGAAGATGAATGAAAATTTCTCAAATGGATGTACAGGCTGTAGATATTTTACGAGAACAGCTGTGATTTGAGGATTCGCTATTATATCTTAGTTGGTTGGGCCTTGCCATTACGATTTCAAATGCACGTAGTGTGTTGAGGCTAGACATGTGGTGAAACACGGTGGAGTTGCTGATACCTCCTCCCCACCAGTGTTGGGGCCAATGGGTCGAAATTGGAGGTGGACGAGTGGATGGGCATACAAAAATTGGCCACGTATTTGCGCACATGGCTTACTGCGCACTTTTTCAGCGATGGCAATTTCGATTAGGCAGCGCGATAACTCGAGGCTGGCAAACGGCATTTTAAATACGTCACCGCTTGACACTGCACATGGGCATTCACATACACACGCACACAAGGAGGGGAATTGTGCGTATCAGCCTCGGAGGGAAACAAATGCTGAAATTTACGAATGAATACCTGTGGGAGTGGATTACAACTGGACGGGTTAATGATCACTGCCTCCTTTTCCTGCAGCTTGCAGCCGAGTCCTGTACGCAACTTTTGGCAAACATTTCCTCCGCTTACAGCAACTGCCCAGACCACTTCGATCTACCTGATTTACTAAAAGTTTGCATTTGGCATCTCCAAGTTCTTCCCTTAAATTATTTGGCCTCTTGCGATCTTTGCGATTTCAAAAGCTTCATGCGTGTATTTGGAGGTTTAAAATGAGTTAATTTTCTCGAAGAGAAGCAAATGCACGGTAGGTGAATAAAGATGGAAAGAACTACATCCTACCGTAATTTAATACTTCTATCCCTTTTTCTTTTCCATGGGAGCCAGATTTATCACCGCAGTGGGTGGAAAATAAGTCACGACACCATCATTCATCACGTGAATGCTGGGCTTTGCCTGGACTGTAGCTAGGCAAAGCAGCTGTTGATGATTAGGAAAGGGCCAGAGTAACACTTAGATTCCACATTAGGTGGAAGTGGCAGTCAGAAAAACAGTCTTTTCCTTTTTACACACTTTGTAATATAATTGATGTAGGGCACTGCGATTGTCAAGCTGACAGTGTTTGATGCAGACGCAGCTGGAGAGCAGGGTCTTCTCTTCCTCATGAAAAACTCCACCTCACATGGTCTCTTCTCCCTGAGTCCCAGTTCTGGAGAACTCGCTTTTGCACGCGAGGTCCTTGATGACGACATTGGCAGTCATTTTCTAGAGATAGAGGTGAGCAACTTCTTTACAAAAGGCTAGGCAGAGGTTATAACAAGATTAACTGCTCCCTTCATCAACAGGCGAAAGATAATGGGGTTCCTTCACGTTCCTCCATCACTTCTATCACCGTGGTAATTGATGCAAAGAATCCTCAAAGAAACCCTGGATCGATTAACACAGGTGCAGAATACGTGAACAGTCCGACTTATTCAAAGTCGTGGAACCACCGAGACGAAGCCGCGTACTCTCTCTACGGCCAGGATACAAGTGTAGAGGTCTACTCACGGCAGGACAGTCCACCGGCCTTCGATCGTCGACTGATCCTCATTTCTTGTCTAGCCTTTCTGGGGTGTCTACTTCTTGTAGTGTTTGGAGCTATTCTTATTCGTTTCCGGCATCGCGCACCCACGGAAAATGCTCCACCCACCAATCCAGCAAACTTTGTCCACGCGAAGGAAGCGAAGTACAAAGCAGCGACCTTACAGCCACAGACTAGCGTGCCAGGAAAGGATTTGTTGAATCGATACGTCTATGGCTGGTCGGCTCAGAGGTCGCCGTTGGTTGGAGGCGCCCGTTGTGCCAATGCTACTGTGCCACAGCAGCAGCAACGAATGCTGCAAGAACATCACCATCAACAACAACAGGAGCAGTTTCTCCGCCTTGGCTTTATGAACGGCACTACTGCAGGTGCGGTGGCTGCAGCCGCTGAGAGCTTTGACAATGCGATACAGGCTCGACCGTGCAGAGGCGAGGTTACTTTGCAGGTAGTACCTATATCAGCCTTACTTTTTTGTTAAAAATGGCAAATGGAAACTAATTCTTTTGATTCCATTTACTATTTTCCAGGCGAAAAATCGGTCCGGTTCACTAGGAGACAGTCTGGAGGAGTACGAAAGGCCCCCAATCCCCATCGTCGACAGGGCGAACATCTACCTCAGCCAGGGCCAGATGAACCGTGTTGACGACGTTTGGGAGCAGCGTGCTGACAAAGTCCTCAACAATTACGAAGCTCCAGGTGATGGAAATGGCTGTAAGTATTTCTAGCTATCGTGGAGCTTTAAATACCAAGTAAAATGCATATTTACAATTGTTTACACG